GGGGGGGGGGGGGGCGGGGGGGGGGGGGGGGCGGGGGGGGGGGCGGGCGGGCGGTGCGAGGGGCGGGCGGGAGCGCGCGGCGGGCGGGCAGGCGATTTCTTGGCGCGCAGTGGGAGGTCTCTTTTGGCCGGCCCCGGTTTTTTTATCTGAGGGGAATATCATGCCTGCTTTTTTAAAATGGCATACTTTCAGTATTCCTACAGTAGTGTTAGTTCAACCAATTCAGTTTTGCTGAGAACTGCTGATGGTTCGCCATTTTTTAGGAGAGGAGGAAGGCCAAAACTCAAAGATAAATGCTTTTCAGTAGCAGTACTGTTCCTCTGGAATGCAAATATATACAAACACATACACAGACTTCAAAATTGACTGCTTCTAGAAGAAATTAAAAATGAAGTAGAGGGCAATCTGGAATATGATTCTATCTGGAGTGGTATGTTAATGGCTGCTGACTTATACCATGTTGGGATTTTATGATGTTTATATTTTTATGTAAATTAACAATAGATGGGGCTAAGAATCTTCCAAGATCACAGCAAGAGATTGTTTGTGTCTGCCTGTTTTGTCTCCATCCCGCATCCTAGTACAAATTCTTGCTCAGTTGTAAACATTAGATCTTGAGGATAAAATAGCCTTTTTTCAACACGAAATCTCAATAAAATTACAAGCATATTCTTTTGTAGAGGAAATTGTTTCAGTGGTTTCAAATATGAGTTTCTCAAATAACCTGATTCCATGGCCAAATGAATTGGATATCCAGGTCTGAGGCATTGAAGAGTCTCCATCTTTTGAAGCCGCAGGCCTTGTCCTCTTAAGAGTGTTTCTTTACATTACTGTGGCAAACCCTTCCAATAGGTCTCTCTGAGGTGTTAACTGTTCCCTTTGAGTCTAGGATAATTTGCACAGCCAACTCTCCACAGGACAGAGGTTACACTAATATTGAAAAAAATAGTGGAATATAATTATTAAAGGATGCAAAAGAAGGAATAAAATGAAATGTGAATGACAAAAAATAATGTTTTAATTATTGTAAACGATTAAATTGAGTTTTTGAATTTTCCTGGGGTGAGTTGGCCCATGGTGAGTTGTCCTGTTGTCATCCCATTCTAAACCTAAATGTTTACATACATAAGTCTGTTTTCCTGCTGAATTTTAACTCCTTTCTGTAATGTGTAAACAAGTATTCTTCTTTCCTACCTACTTTTTCCTTATTGCCATTGAATTTTGTTTTCCCTCATCCTCACCCCAATTTAGATTCCCTTCTTGTGGCAGCTATTCCAATCAAGGTTTTTAATTTTGAGAGGGATTTGATTGTTTCTGCTGGAGGGGAGGTAAAAAAGAAACAGTGCTTATATATTTTTATGTAATATAGAAGTTGCTTGCCTGGTAGATGTGAGGGTAGATGAAGAATTAATATATATACAAAAGTGTTTCCTTATTTTATAAGCAACCAGCTTTAATCAGGAGCTTTTAGTTCACTTAATACATATTAACATTAAACCTATGTTTATTAATTTATTAGCTATCTAAAGTCACCCCAAAAAGTGAGATAGGTGGTATGTATATTTAATAAGTACATAATATTTGGGAAAAAAGCATCTCCAGGATGATTTCAGTTGGAGCTGGCAACCCTATGCTAGGGAAGTTGAGCATTATACAGCAT